TTTATTATATATCTTATTCTTAACCCTCACAACTATATTGCACTCTCTGACAACTCTACCAATAACTTAATTTATATATTTAACAATTTCTTAGAAGATGCTAAATGCATAAAAAAAACAGGCTTAAATTCTATCACAAGATATGAGTAAGGTCTATGACTTAGTCAATATACATCTTTTCAACAAAGCTTTACAATATTTAAATATGTCAACTCAACTTATACAAATTATTATCAATTTGCTATATTGTATTAACCAAGTTATCACTAACTATAAATTAATACTTCTATATAATATATAAGATAAAATTGACCAAAGAAAGACAATTACACATCTTCTTTGGCATATCTACTATGACCTTTTATTATCAGCATTAACAAAACATATACTGGATATATGTCTATAGTTGAATAGATTACCTAACTTAATCTTATCAAATATCAAAATACATCAGTCTCTATATCAGTATTAGCATATATATAGATAATACTTTATGGCTTGCCAAATTACTTAAACAATTACAACAAATTATACAAACAGCATCTTTATTCTACAAAATAACAAATATTAAAGTAAATCTACAAATATCTGTTTTGATATCCAATACTAACCAAATCTCAAATATTAGCTTTTATGAATTATTCTATTTAAATACAACCTCAATATACCTTATTTAAATTTCTGAGATGCTAGTTTATAGCCATACTCAAATATGCTATATAAATTAAATTTATTAAATAAGAAGTATTTAGTTTTAATAATATACTTAAAACTAAAATATAACTAATAAACAAGCTACTTATATCATTAACAATATTATTATTCCTATTCTAAAGTATTGTATACACAATATTATACTTTTTTGAACTATATATAACTCAATTTTGATACAATACCTAACTATAGTTAAATACAAAGCTAAACTGCCTATTATTACACCTAATAGCACATTACTTAATCACAATATATATAATATTAAAAATATATAGAATATATAATTATATTTCTAACTTCTTACTACATTTAAATGACTAAAGCTTTATAGGCTTTAGTACCTATATACAACTTTAACAATTACAAAACAATCTCTAATCTACAACCAATATTTTTAAATATCCTTATCCATTAATTAATAGATCCAACAAAAACAACTCTTTTTAAAATTATACAACTACTTAACTTACTTCAACTAGCTATCAATATATATATAAATTATCTTCAACTATATATACTCTATTTCCTTATACATCTATTGAAATATTTGAAGTCTTTGCCTTAAAAATCATCTTCTAACATTTCTGATTAGATTAATTCAGATAAAAATAAACACAAGTACCAGTTTATATTTATATATTAATCATCTTTTAACTTTATCGATTCAATTCAATAGTTTATTAAATAACTATTAAATCAATATAAATGATGATTAATATATAAACATGAACCAATACTTGGATTTATTTTAATTTAATCAAAAAATACCAGAAAGTGATTTTTATAGCAAAGGCCTCAATTTTTTTTTATTTATTTTGAATTTGCTGTATACAGGATAAGATTAGTTAAAGATTGTATTAAGATGATATTAATTTAAACTATTTATTATATCTTGTATAACTACCTAAGTATAACAAATCATCTCTTAATTTTCTATTTAAAAACTAATTTAAGTTAAACTATATTAGTTATAGGAGGGGAAAGAGAAGGCCCAGAAGACCCTATTTCTTAATACACACAAATCATATTTACAATTCAAAAACAACTATGTTTAAAGAACATTATTTGTCAAAGATTAAAATGAAATCTGATCAAAAAGAAATTTTTTTGTTTTTTAAAGAAAATTTTAAATTTTTTAATAATATTTTTTAGGGTTTTTTTAGTATTAGAAGTAGAGTTTAGGGTTAAATTTATTAATAAATAAGTATATATGGATTTTATAGGCTCTAAGAGTGGGTATAAAAGGTTTTTAGTTTCATTTTGATCAAATTTTATTTTAATCTGTGACATTATTTATTTAGAACAGCTTATATTATCTGATAACACTATCTTGTTAGCATAAAATTATATATCACTACAAATATAACAAATTCTAAAAGAATATAAACTTTTATAGTTTATAATCTTTGAAGAAAAAACAATTATAGATTTTAATTTAATAAGATAATTATTAAAAAATTAATTTTTAGTTTAATTTTATTATTATTTCATTTTGTTTAAAAATTTGATATAATAGTTTTTGTATAATTTATTATAAATTATATAGTAAAATTAATAATAAAATTTCATAAACTACTCTTTCTGATGATTCTTTGATCAACAATAACAGAAAAACTAAACTATAAAAAATGATATAGAAATATCCAAAATAGATACTTCTCAATTCTACCTTAAAGTAAACAGTTGGCAACAAAGCTTAAAGATATAAAACACTAAGAAGCAAGTGTATTTTAGATAGTTTTTCTTAAAATCAAGCCTTTTCTGCTGTTTAGTAAACTTTCTAAATAATTTAGCATTCAAACCAGAAGAGTATTTTAGAAACTGGTCTTATCTTTATATAGATTGTTGTTAATGAAGTTTAAGAGATATAATACACTAAGAAGCAAGTATAGTTTGAACAGTTTTTCTTGAGATCAACTTTTCTTTCTACTTTATTGACAAACTTTTTAAGTTATTCAGTATCCAAATCAATTAGAATATTCTGATAACAAGTATTAATCAAAAGATTTTGCTAAAATAGTTGAAGCTTGAAAAATTGCTTATATAACTGTAAAATTTACAAAAAAACCTTATATACTTTTCTTGACTTTCTGCTTTTTTTTCAATAAAAATTTTATAAAAAAGTGAGTAATTCAGTTTACTTTCTCAAAAATATTAACATATTGTTTACTTATCAAATTAGTTAGCATTGTTTACTTTTTTAACTGCTATAACAAAAATGTAGATATATGGGGGGGAGTCAGTAGAAATAGGACAAATCATTTTTAGTGATTTTTTTTTAATTTTTAAATTACAATTTCTTGACAACTACTTAACTAATTTTGATAAATTTTTTTTTATTTTAATTCTAGAATTACCTGAAATTAAAATAAAAAAAATTTATTAGATTTAATAAGATAGTTGACAAGATATTTAAATTTAAAGTTAAGAAAACTTTTACTTAGAAAAAATTTGTTCCATTTCTACTGACTCCCTCCCATATATAGAATGTAAATATATAGATTATATATCTCGAATGTGACAACCTGAACAAACAATATCTTGAGATTATTTTTGTGAACTTCTAAGCTTTCCAACCTCTCTATAGTGTTAATATTGAAGAAGCTATTTTTTTTACTCTGTTAGATATTTTTTTCTTATTTTATTAAATATACTATATATAAATTAGAATAAAAACAAGTTTAAATAATAGTATATAATTTTTATGAAGTTTGACACAGGCTTATAATTGTAACTGTTTGGTGCAGAAGAAAAACACCATATTTAGATTAGGTTTTTTTGTTCTCTCTTATTATTTCTTTTTTTGTTTATATTATTTTAATACTATCTTCTATACCTAATAATATATATATAGACAAATTTATTTATAACAGCATGTAATATTTGTTATTTATTACTACATATTTATTATTAATTTAAATCATGTGACTTTATATATAAAATTCAAATTTTATTAATTATAATAAAAAATTCTAAGATTCGGATCACTACTATAAGATGTACAACAGTGCTATATATACTTACAATACTTGCAATTCAAAAATGCAATGCAATTAGTCTTGCTATATTTTCGCGAAATAATATGCAAAAGTATAATTTTGAAATTTGGCTCAAATTAAGCTTAATTCGGGCCAAAATTCAAAAATAACACCCTGTGTATTATTTCATCAGACCCGGAATTTTGGAGTAAATAGCAAAATAATATAAACACATGAAACTATAATAGTGTATACATTACGTACATACTATAGCTGACTTCTCTATAGCACATACTTACCTAATTAATAGTATGTTATTTCTAATACTTAAATATAAACATCTTATCAATCGTACATACTATCAAATTTTCACATCTATTCTAATAAACTATAATCTAGAATCGCTCAAGTTGCAGTTAATCAATAAAAAGCATAGCAATTATACAACAATTACACATCAAATAGCAATTACATATAAAATAGCAATCACATATAAAATAACAATCGCATATTAAATATCAAATAACATCCATACATCAAACAACATCACACATCAAATAATAATTGGCAAACCTTCCAGTAACCCACCAACATCAAATTAACCACCTTTCATTTGACATCTTGCATTATTGTGCCCAGTCTTACCATAGCTTCAACATGTATATGGCTGATGACAAGGCTTTTCAGTAGCAGCCTTGAATCTTTTGGTCACAGGCCTGCTTTTACACTTAGTAATCAGTAGATTTTCAATTGTAGAATTATTTTCTTTTTCACTGTTTTCACTGTTTTTATTGTTTTTAGACTCTTTATTATGTATTAAAGATGCTTCTTTTGATTAATAAAGCGTTTTAACTATAGTTCCATATTATTATCATCACATTCTATAGCCAATTGTACAGCTTGCTATGCAAGACCCCAAATTTCACCAAATTTAGAACGTCTGGTTGCTGCACTTCAGTTGTTTATTGCTATTGAATGGGAACTGTAAAAGGTTGAGGAATCAAAGATACTTTTTGACCTTGTTAAGCTTTACTAGCATCTGAATTTGCAAAAATCACATTTTCCTAATCAATTTTCTTTTCTTACTATTACAATACCAACGCAATACCACCATTACAATATGAAATCTAGAAATTTGTGACACTAATATTACTTGAAAGTAATGTTGACATAGAATACCACAGGATATATTTGACATATATATGCATATATAAGAAATAGAATCAATGACAATAACAAAGTATTTTCTCTGATTGTTTTTAGATCATTTATCAGTAATTTGCCAGGTCTCTTTAATATTAATTTGATCTACTTTGATACTATTGATTTAAATAAAATCTGCTTTGCATCATAAACATCTTCCATAAATTGATCACCTAAATTCTCATTCTTATTATCCAATCCAATTACTGTTAAGTCAACTAATGTTGCATTGAAATATAAACACTGTGCCATTTCAATATACTCGATAGAAAGAATTTGAGAGGTCAAGTATTCTGAGAGTATACAGTCAACAGCAGACAATATCTTACTACTGATAGATGTAATTTCAATGCATAATGACAAAGTCTGATACTCAAAAAAATGGTTCCACTCAGCCTCTTTTTCTAATTGTGAATCCAAAGTCTTCATCAAATTACATAAACTACCATTACTATGTAATACTCTTTTGATCATATTGTTATACCTGTAGTATGAATAGAATTTAGTAAAACATGTCAGATATTAGTTGACATCCTAAAGAGAAAATGCAGCAATCTAAATCGTAGATTAAGACACAAAATGAACCTTAGACAAGTTGATCTCAACTAATATCTAACATGATCTTAAATTATTTTGCAAACAATTCTCTAATTCTAACCTGATTTATACACCTACACCTAACCCTAATCATGACATAAACCTAATTCAACAATAATCATAAACCTAACCCTAACTATAACCACAAGTCTATATCTAACTCTAACCAAATCAAATTTTAACATATTAATGTATTAATTTACAACATAATACCCTTCAACGTGTGATATAGTTTGAATTCTGGCTATAAAAACTTTGGATATGAAGGCACAAGCCTATGAGTAGTGACTAGAATAAAGGGTCTGATTCAGGTAACTTGAAGCAGGTAGAAACTTTTCTAATAAAGTTTTCCATCTTGACTCAAATAGCATTTTATCCAAAGTGTTACAGCAGAGGAAAAAGTCTTTGACAAATTGATCATACACATTACCTAATGTTCCTTTCAAATTCTTTGGAAGGTTTTGGCTAATGTGATAAATACAATGTACTAAATGAGTATTTTCATATACTTGTTTTAACGCACTGTCCATCGCTAGATCCGCATCTGTCACAAAGACTATAGGCTCAACACCCATAGCTTTCATAGTGCACTGGAGTATCTATAGATATGAGTCAACAGTTTATTAGAAACTAACACTTGTACAACCAAATGAGATCTTGTGTTATTATCGACAACAATGAACAAACTTAAGGGCATCTGAAATGATTCGTCTTAGAAGTATTATTATTAAAAATGACATCATGATATTCCAGCCAAAGGGATATCTGTTTAGAAGTCATCCAGAAAATCTGGGTAAGGCAGTTACCACTATCTAACTCAAATTTAACACTCCAATTCAACTCTTCTGAATGCTTCTCAATAAAATATAACAAAAGTTGTGAGGCATTATTTTTAAGATCTCTAGACTTAACTTTATAATGTTGAATAGCGTTGGTGAGATCTATATTTAAGAAGATTGCATCTGGATACTTTGCTTTTAGTAATTGATGCTGTATGATAATCAAAAGATTTCTATTTTTTGTATAAAACTTAATGTCATTCAATGCTTCATTTTTAATTGACCTAAATTTAGTATTATATTTATACTTTTCCAGATAGAGATCATTGTTGTAGATACTTTCAAATGTTGTAACAGTAATGTAATTAGATTTTTTAGGAAAACTTAGATTGATATGCTATTCACATCCTTAATGTTTTGATTGTCGGTTACTGTGAGTGTTAATGTCAATACTCTTCTTGGGTACATATTTCCCTCTAAACTCATATCCAAAAAATCAATGTCTAATTACACTGTCGTTATATTGTTCAACCCTTATCAAACCCATGATACAGACCATAAGCTTTAAAATAAGCATCAACATCATCCTATGAAAGGAATATATAACCAAGTTTTAGTAAGGAAAAATCATGTTGCGTCTTGTCTAAAAATGAGTTTGCAAGCTTGAAATATTAAAACTGAACCTATAACAAACCATAACTTCATATTACAGTATTACTAATATCTATATTGTTAACCTTTTCATTAGTTGCTTTGTCATGAACTGTATTTTCACAGAGGGCATTAGTCTCAGTGTCAATCATATATGAGATATTAGTTTGAACATTAACCACGTAGAAGGTACTGTTGAGGCGAGGGTTAATTAAAGTATGTGTCGCTCTAAATTCTTGCCCAGACGGCTTGATTTGTTGATTTCGCACTCGTAATCCTTACTACGTTCGCTCCGGTCTCAACACC